ATATATATATATGGCCCATAAAGTCTGATTTGTTTCCCCAAATGTCCTTCAGTGTGGGTCCATACACTGGGTCAACCAAGAGTCCCATCCCTGTAAGACACCATCTCTCCCCCTCTCAGCAGCCATCAGTTGCTGAAAATTCCTTAGGTTGGTTGGGATTTCTTACCCACTTCCCCATGTCTATGTTGGGATTTTGTCTGGTTTGAGCTTGCATAGGACTTATGTGTGCTGTCACCACTGCTATGAGTTCATATGAGTAACTGATGGTCAGTATTTTTTCATTTAAAGAAGTGACTAGTGATGTCTTATTATGGTTTTAATGTGAATTTTCATAATAGCTAATTATGTGTAATTTGCCATTTTTATTTTTATATCTTCTTTGGTGAAGTCTATTCATTTTTTGTGTATTTTGTAAAATTGAGTCATTTGTTTTCTTACTTTTTTAAAAATTATTTTTAAATTTTAAAATGAGCAGCAAATTTAATAACATTTCTCTAAAGTCATAGAGAAACTAACAAATACACAGGATACAGTTATGGTCTGGATATGAAGTATTCCCCCAAAAGGCTTGTGTCCTAAAGGCTTGATTCCCCAGGTGGTTGGTACTGTTTGGGAAGGTTCTGGGAACTCTGGGAGGTCATTAAACATATGTCCTTGGGAGGCCATATGCTCTGTCCCTTCCCCTGCTTCCTATCTGGCATGAGATGAGTAGTCTCTGCCATAAGATCCTGCAATATGATGGCCCAGAATCAATAGAACCAAGGGCTATGGACTAAAACCATGGACCAAAATAAGTCCTTCCTCCCTCAAGTTGTTTTGTCAGTGGCACAAAGTCTACATGGATGCTCGACACCATTAATCATTAAGGAACTGTACATCAAAACCAGAATAAGAGTGCTGGAGAAATGGCTCAGAGGTTGAGATTGCCTACTGCTCTTCCTGAGGACCTGAGTTTGGTTCAGGCAGCTCACAACCACCTGTAATTCCAGTTCAGGGGATCCAGGATCTGACACCCCCTTCTGGACTAAGCCAGCACCTGCAGTCACACATGTGTGTCACACACACACGCACACACACACAAATTAAAAATAAAATAAATCTTAAGAAAAAAAAAAGAATGAGATATTAGGATGACCAAACACAAATAAGGAAAAATAACACTCTTCTGAGTCACTGACCATGTATAACAATAACACACATAGTTAGCAAATATGATTACAGAATATGAAACAAGCCTCAGCAAAATTCAAATGATTAAAGTAATCCAAGGTATGCTTTGACAACAATGCAACTGAACCACAGTCAGTAACAAAAAAGGCAATTTTTAAAGCTCCAAATATTGGAAAGTAAACCACAATAGAAACTGGAAAAATAACTTGTACTGAAAAAAAAAATCATAAAAAGAAATTAGGGTAAGGTAGCGGAAATGCCACAGCTTTAACGCACAGAGCCTTTATGAGTACAACTGTGTAGGTACACTCAATAAATGTTGGCCCATCCATGTGAAGCTGGATTTACCTCTGTCCTAAGCTTATTTCCATGTGTTTTGGGTGGGTTCACATTCCTAATCACTTGCCTTTTGTTTTGTTTTTTAAGATGTAACCCAGGCTGACCTCGAACTCACCCTGTAGCTGAGGATGACCTTAAACTCCTGATCCTCCTGCCTCAACTGACCAAGTGCTGGGATTGCAGGCTGCACGGACATGTCCTGTTCTAGTCACTTCTACGGCCCTCAATTTTCCCATTATTTTCTCTAGGAAGCTTGAACTGCTATCTTCCACTATATAGTATTTGCACCACAAACTCTAAACACTATCCTGAAGAGTAACAGCAGAGATCAAGTCTCTGACTCAACTTTGCATTCCCAGCACCTAGCACAGTACCTGGCCCAGTGAGTGTACAAAACTAGTTTTTGAACAAACCTATTCACCCAACTGAAGAGTTCTGCAATTATTAAGAAGAACAAGAAAATACACATACCAGACAGAAATTTCAACTTACAAGCCTATTGGGTGAATTCACCTTCCAAATCTCTCAGAACTTCAGTTCTATCTGCAAGAATCCTTTGCAGAGTGACATGGGAATAAAGTTGATAGTGGAAGATGAGCATGCTAGTGCATGCAGAGGCGGGAGATTCTGGAGTTCAAGCCAAGTAGGACTACATAGCAAGATTTTGTCTTTAAAAAAAAAAATCCTAATAGAGCAATCAAAACACTGGACAAAATCATTACAATGAGAAACATTATCAGAATAACCGAGCAATGGGTCTCAAAACATTTTAGTCTCAGGATCCCTTTACAATCTTAAATATTAATGAGAGCCTCAAAAATCTCCAGTTTATGTAGATTTTATTAATAATTGCTTTGCTAGAAATCTAATCTTCAAATTGAGTGTGGAGGCTCACACTTATAATCCCAACATTTAGGAAGCTGAGACAAGAGGACTGGCAGGAATTTGAGCCCATCTGACTACACAGTGAGCTCTAGACCAGCATGGCCTAGAATGAGACCCTGTCTCAAAAGAAAAACATTTTTTAAAATATTTTATTATTTTTATCTTATGTGTATGAATATATTGCCTGTATGTATGTGAGTGCACCCATGTCCTGCAATGCCTTGGAGGTCAGAAGAGGGCTTTGGATTCCCCTGGAACTGGAGTTAAGGATGGTTCGTAGCTGCCATGTGGGTGCTGGGAATCAAACCCAGGTCCTCTGCAAGAGCAGTCAATGCTCTTAACCGCTGAGCCATCTCTCCAGCCCCAAGAAAAACATATTTTTATGAGAAAATATTCTTCCAAAATTGTTTACAAGTCTTTTAATGTCTGGTTTAGTAAAGTATAGCTGGATTCTCCTATCTGTCTTTGCATTCTCCCTGTTGTGAAGTGGCTTTGGATAGAATGTATGAAACAACAGTCACATACGTCTGGTATGCTACCAGAATACTGTGTGCTAAGTTGTCTGCAGTTGAACCCACAACTGCTTTCAGTTAGCCAAATAAAATAGCCAAATAGTTTTAGTATCATTATAGATATATTTCTTACAGACTTATGAAAGCACCTCAGGGAGTCCCCAGGGGTCCAAACAAAACACTCTGAGAAGCACAGGGGTGAGGTTTAAGGTTGCCCCTGAAAAGAACTGAGGAAGCCTCCCTGAAGAAGCCTCAGCACCTACATGTAAATAAAAGGAGGTGATCTCTCAGAAGAGGGAATCACAAGGTCCCTGAACAAAAAACAAAGGTAAAAGTGGCATCATCAAGGACAGCAAAGACTGATGCCAGACTGAGAGCTGAAGACTACGGTCCAAGGGTCATCAGGAGTCCGAGGTTTATTTCAAAATCAAGAGGGACCCACTCCATACCTTTAATCAGGATGTGAACCTAGATTACATTTGAAGAGATCATCCACATTCAAAAGTGATGGACTGAAAGCTCAGCAGAGCCCAGTTTGAAGGTTCCACCTTTGGAGCTGTGGGTACCTTGGAAGGCTGTCAACAATTGCAAACCAAGTTCTGAGAAAGGGTTGTATGTATTGCAACCCATACAAGACTTAGCTATGGGTTGGAGAGATGGTTCAGGAGTTAAAAGCCCTTGCCACCAGGCCTGACAACCTGAATTCAATCCCCAGAACACACAAGGGAAGCAACTCGTGTAAGTTGTCCTCTGACCATTACATGAACATGGTGATGCACACCAAAAAAATTAATTTAATATTAAAAAGTTTTAAATGACTTCATTATGAAGTGTCTTGGAAAACAAGAGAAATAGGATTATTATATTTGGGGATAGTGATGCCATTGGGTAAAGTGGGGAATGCTGAGAGGAATAGGTTCCCAGCCTTGTCTCAGTGGAAATTTCACATTCTCTCTCTCTAAGCATCCTTCCACATAGATGATACACTGCACCTTCTTGGCATTCGGCACTAACAAAACAAAAACAATGAACAAAAACATGGTCAAAGTCAAAGCAGTGAAGCAATAAAGACACCATCGGATGAATATTCTGTGCAGTTTTCAATCACAATCTTCATACGTTACCTACAACCAACCATGAAAGCAACAGGAAGTGTGCAAACACTGAGGTTCAAGAACACTCTGTTCATATCACCTTGATTGACATGCCTGTTGAGTTTGCTAAGAGCTAGGATAGTAGCTTCTAGTTTGGGTGTCCTGTTCCTAAGCTTGCAACTGATCCCAATTCCTCACCCTTTTCTCCCAAAGGACCAACTTAACATAGCCCTTTTTATTACCAGACCTGACTTCTCTGTAAGCATCTGCACCTCTGCTCCTGGCTCAGTTCTTTCATGAACCTCAGTGTAGTCATCCCCAAGGACAGTCAAACTCTTAAGTCAGTAACATAAAACTGAACAGAAATCGAAGTGATTCACATTCCACAGCATCCGAGGCAGACATCACTTTCTCAGCGCCCAACCAGAATCCTTTCTCAGTGTGACTGCAAAAACCGTAGGAACCAGGAAAACTGGGGCTACCTGACACGTATTTCCCAAGACTAGAATTAAAACTGTGGTGCCAACCGCAGCACAGCTCCCTTGCTTCTCTACCCAATGACCCCCATTCCATGTCCGAACACCGCTGCAAAGGATGCCTCGGTTTCCTCTCCGAACTGTGGGAGGGGCCCCATTAACCCCCAAGCTGAGCAGAGGCGATGGTGTGGGTGACATTTTCCCCTTCGCTACGTCTGTCATAAAACTGTGTGCACTTCCTCCTTTCAGAAGAAACAGACCTAAGTTCTCGCACGAATTCAGCCAGCGAGCCTTGAGCGAGAAACACTTCCTGCGGCCTACTGTGCGCAGGAGAACCTACTGCGTGAGGGACCGCGGCCAATGGGGGGGGGGGGTAAATCACCCCCAGGAGGGAGTCCCTCTGCGGCGCGGGCCCCGGGCCAGCCAGGCGTGGGCCCAGGACCGTCCGGGCAGGCAAGGGACAGGGGGAAGGGGAAGGGCGACATGGAAGGAGGGGACTAGAGGGACAACAACGCAGAGAAGGCGACATGGAGGGCGGGGGTCTGATGGGAAGCAGAACGGGGATCAGGAAGAGGAGGAGAGCCTGGGAGGACAGAAACTGAGAAGCCCGAAGCGAGGGGCTCCGGAAGGGCGCGGACTGGAACTCGGGAGGAGGAGGAAGCCGCCGCCCGCGCCGCCGCCCCCGCGCCGCCGCGGCCCGGAAAGTAGGCCCAGCGCGGAGGGGCCCGGCCGCGGCGCCCGTATCCGTCCG